CCATCCCGCAGCAGAACCTGTGCGCCGAGCTGGCCGCCCTGGCCGACGTCCTGCCCGACGCCGCCGTCGCCCCCTGGTTCACCGGCTTCTGGGACGTCATGAGCCGCGAGTGGACCGGCATCGACGTCCTGCGCCTCGAGAAGTTCCTGCTGCTGGTCAGGAGGGTCTTCGCCAAGAGTCTGACCTGGGTGCGCGAGGGCAAGGGCGACAAGGGCGCCAAGAGGAAGGCCGCCATGCTCGCCCTCTTCCTCGAGTGGCCCCTCGAGACCTCGGGCGACCTGAAGAGGGTCCCTGTCGGCCTGAGGCTGCACGTCCTGGATATCTGGGTCGATGAAGTCGAGAAGGCTGGCTTCTTGGGCGACGAGTCCACGGAAAAGGACCAGGAGTTCCTCAGGGACTTCAAGGCCATACTGGACGAGATGATCAAGAACACCGTGACTCCAGTCAAGTCCAAAGCAAAGGAGAGCCGAAAGGACGAGAGGTTACCTTGGAATGTGAAGTCGACCGACGGAGATGAGGACATGGGAGATTCAAGCGATGATGACCAAGAGGAGGATGGCTGGGGCGGCTTCAGAGATTAAGGCAAAACAGTCTCGTCAAGGTTCCATGTTGGAGAGCGGCCCTTTATCATTGGCGGAGTTTAGGCGTTCGTTGTCAGGTCACAGTTCTAGATATTTATGGCACGGCTCAATACCCAAGGCAATTTTGTCTCGAAAATCTTCATTATTATGTCCATCGCTGTAATCAATCGTTTGTTGGGTACCCGCTGTCTCAGTAATCTATCAGGGGTATCTTGCAACTTCTCAGTCTCGAGCCTATCCTACATTTGCCGTCATCTTTGATTCTATATATTCTTTCCAGCTTGGTCTTCAGTTGACTCCATTCGCAGCGCTGGCCTTTTCCCATCCTAGCGGACCAGGCGCCTCGAAGCGGCCGTTCCTTGAGAGCACCGTAGCCAGACCTGGGTGGATTTCCACCTGGAAAGGCTCGAACGGGATGCGCTCGCCGTCGATACTGATGTAGCCTTCGTTTTGTTTCGGCGTGAGGCGATAAGCTACAACCTTCTGGTATGACAACAGCGGATTGTCGTAATGCTTTCCCTTCTCAATGCTCAGCATGAGCTCGGCGTATTTCATGGTAGAAATGTCGCCGTTGCTCGCAGTCACGTCCATGAAGCCGTCATTGGGGAGGGCGGCGGGGAAGAAGTTGGTGCCCGGAGCCATATAACCCATGTTGCCACAATAAAAGTTGCCCAGTTTCTCGTACGTTGTCGTTGCCCAATCTGCAGGCACCTCGTCTTTGATGGTGCCATATTTGAGAGGAGGTAACCCCTCGCCCAATTCGGCCTGGCCCGGCGATGATTCTCCCTCGGCTGGGATAACGCGTCTTCTGACCGAATAGTCGTGGTCTCTTCCTTGCTTGTAATGCGACTTGATCTCATTCTTATCCGCAATGGCCGTCTTGACGGACACCTCCGCTGGCCACGTTTTCCCCGTGAGAATCCTTTGACCAACTCCAATGTCGAATCTGACAGGGCCCATCCAGCGGAGATTTTCTGTGCCCAGATCGCACTCGGCAACGATGCCAAATGACTGGCTCAGGAAGCTCAGAATCCGCCGGTCTCCCTGGGTCACACTCATGAGGTCCATGGGCGTTCTCACACCCTTGACGATAGCCAGCGCAGCCGGGCCCGGCTTGTGGCTACCGTTGATATTGCAGCTCAGCCCGTTGCCGCTGCCACAGGGACCATGCGCAACGGCCAGCTGCTCCAAAGCTCGCCGCGCGTCCGGCCGCTTGCCGAGACCATTGAAGACCTCATACACCAGCCCGTCTCCGGAGCATGGTATCACGACGTCGTAAGCATCGATGTCGAGCTTCTCGCAGATCTCAATGGCTTCCCCCGAGTATTTTGTCCTCACAACGTCCAGAGGCATGCGAGCTGCATCGAACAGCGGCCTGATATCATGCTCCCAGATCTTGTCAACGCCGCCCGGGCCCGCAAAGGGGTTCACGAGGACCTTGGCGCGCTTCTTTTGCTTCGACTTCCCGTATGACTTTTCGAGTAGGATGTCTGCCCATGCTGTTGCCGTGGTCGAGGGAACGTCTCCCAACGGATAGCTAAGCTTCTTCACAGTGACCTTGTCCTTGGCGAAAGCGGCGTAGTCGATTGTGATCGTGTCCTTGGCTACCTCGGCCCAAAGGACATGGTAAAATGGTATAGAGATTGACGACTGTGAGGCTCCTACTGGGACGCCGCAGAGCTTGGCCCGCGCGCGCTTGGCCGCTGCCTTGTCTGTGTATCAGGTGTGAGAATTGATGTCCTCGATGCAGGACCAGGGCGGAAATATAGATGGGCGCAACTACGGACCTTTGACGAAGAGCGAGTCATCCAGGAACGAGAGGGAAACTCCGCCGCCTAGTCGCAAGACTTGGTCGGCCGCGACGGCGGCAGAATGGCCCTCGAAGCTGGACTCGGCAGAGACGGGAGCGCCGGAAGCGTCAAGCATGGGTGCTGATTCGGAAGCTCGTGCCTCGGGGGCCATGTTGAATGTATATCAAGGCGGTCTCGTATTGTACAGCGGCGTCTCAAAGACAGACTTCGTTCAAGTATCCGGTGCGCCGTGCCAGCCGAGGTTCTGTCTACAGCCGCGATTCGAGGATGGGCAACGAAAAGAAGGCACTAAGTGTGTAGTAAAACGAGCGAAGGGGAACATATGTCCAAAATTATGTTTTCTGTAGCTACCTGTAATGTTGCATGGCTTCACAGCAGAAATCAGTGTGGTTTCATTTGCGGCGCAGGCATTAGGGAAATTGATCCATCAACCCAGGACGTCGAAGCCGGTGGTGATCAGGTACCCGAATGTTGAAGTCAGCGCTAATCATGCCCCTGGGCCTTGCGCTCGTAATGCCTGCCAAGGCAATAAACAGTGCTACTAACAGCCTTGCAGGATTGAGATGCAGGGGATCGGGCGCTGGTTGTAGTGGATCAATTTTATCATGCACAAGACAACCAACCAACAAGTGAGAACGACTGTGACAACCGTCACAACGTAATCTTGCACATGAAAATGAATGGCATAATACTCGTTTTTTTGTTCTTCTTTTCTTTGGGACTAAATAGTCCCACATGTTGGTTATCATTCGAATCAAGTCTGGATTTGTCACTATATTATGCGCATACTCGTAGCTGTATACAGAGTCATCTACGAAATATACAACTTAAATCACTGTTAGCCACGAATCGACAATACGTGTCACTGGACAAGGAATTGGTTTTAATAAATAGCTCTTATGAGCCATACTATAATGCTGATTGGATTACTGATGCTTTCTTGATTGGTTATCAAATGCCCATATTCTAGAATACGGATGATCCACCATTATCCGTATGTACACAGGCTATTTTCCGCGGCGCGATTTGCGCTTCTTATCCCCAACTCGTCCCGCAGCCTATTGCCTGATTACTGCATTCAACACTCAGTTAGTGGCAGACAGAATATTCGCTCTTGAGTGCTTCGTCAAAGTGCCTTGTATCAGTCCGGTGCTGCTACCCGCCAGCTCAGCAGCGAAACAGTCCATCTCAAGTACTACAACATGGACGCCGCGGGCCCCGCGGTCAAGGGTGTCGATGTGACGGCCCTCACGCAGTGCGCTCACTGGCACTCGCCGCGCGATATCATTGCCATACGGCACAAATGTTGCGGCGAGTACTACGCGTGCATCAGCTGCCATGAAGCCTCGGCCGGGCACGCCAACTCGCTTTGGCCAAGGGCAGAACGGAATGCCAAGGCAGTGCTCTGTGGGAAATGCCGCCACGAGCTGACGATCGAGCAGTACCTGTCCTGCCTGTCGGTCTGCCCAGGCTGTCGGGCAGAGTTCAATCCCGGTTGTGCCAATCACTATCACCTCTACTTTGAGATGTGAAGGGTTTTCGGTCGTTGGAGTCGACTCAAGGGTCAAATCAAATCCTCTTGATGCAAGGCGGCTCTACGATACATGATCGGTTCAAAAAGCCTTGTCTTGCTCACACAAATCGGGTTATGACTGATATACCGTCAGATATGGAAGACATTGTTGCCTGCGAAGACAATTTTGTGGGCAACGAATTCCGTCCCGGTCTCAGTGATCATGGCCCGGGCAAGAGTTATGCGCACTCTGCCTGTGTGTCGGCCTGGTTCAACCAAAAAAGACCCGGTATTGGACGAGACCAGCAATCTCAACTACCAGATACTATATATCACGGAGACAGCAGAACCGTTTAGACCAAGGACATATACTAGTCTGTCTCAGTCATCACAGCAAGACTAGAGAATGATGTTTCCGAATTATCGGCATTACCTCTTAAGTATTTTGGAAGTCAGTCTACTGGCAGGGCATATATTGGAAAGATTCGTCGAGAACAGCACTTGAAGTGTAACAATTTTTTTCATGGGATGTCGATTTCGAATTTTATGGCTTTTCTACGGCGACTATGATTCAGCGATGCTTGTGAGCTCCCAGCCGCAAAGAACGTTGTTGCATCCAACCACAAATCTCATATTGGACGAAAGGCATCAAACAAGCTGGTAATTGATTATCATCTGTCATTTACTGGCTGGTATCACTTGATGTCTAATACCCACCGGCCGAGTTCATTCCTGCTGAGCCTCGAGAGGATTGATTATAGGATTGATCATACCAGGAGTTGCCCGATGACTCATCTCACCAGGACCATGTCAACCAACCCCATAGAGATTATATAGCAATTCAAATATATACAATACTATCCTAGGCATGTGCCTGAGGAAGTATTGCCATTACTGACTCGTCCCCGACCGGCTTTGAGGACCTTCCCTCGGCCGCGTATCCAATTGAGCACCAAGTGGAGCCGGATTGGGCAGGTGGACTGGAGTCATCGTGAGACCTCGTCGCCGACCTGTCGATTCAGGAACACCACGCCCTCACTATCTTTTCAATATATCACGTAATAACCTCAATCTCTTCAACAACAACAACTAGCAGGTCTTGTGGTCTAGTGGTATGATTCGCGCTTAGGGAACACCCTGAACATTGTTTGCGCGAGGCCCCGTGTTCGATCCACGGCAAGACCCTTTCTTTTGCTTTTTTGCTGGTATTGCCGCATTTGTGCAGATGATATATTTTTGACGTGTTACATGTGTCTGTGGCTTTACTTTCACGTTCATCGAGAAACATAAAAAAATTATTCTTGCCGTTGAGCTAAAGACAGACACTCTTGGTCGACCTCTAGAGCTGGTCTACCTTTGTCAGTCTCTTACCCGGGAGGCAGCCATTGAGACAAAACAATGGGACAAAGTCTGTCGCAACTGTCAACGATTGTGCATTGACGCCATCTGATGCCAGAATCGTGAGCGATGCCTTTACCATGAACGATGACGATGATGGATGGCTCTGATCGGGTTCGACGTGTGCTTGTGGCCTATGAGCGCGTGGCGGGAAGAATAGAAGTCGTAACTAAACACGCCGGGCGAATTTATATCTTGACATCTGTATGTTTATCTTATTTGAGGCTGGAGAATAGATAGGATCTTGTATGAAGGGTTGTAATGAGTTTGTAGCGACAGCCTTCTGCGCCTGTTCAAAGTGGCTTATTTGATTATCAGTAAATCCCTAAGAAGTCTGCCAGTGTGTCGTACGGAGGGTTTTTCGAACCTGCAGTCGAGCTATCAGTGAGTGCAAAGTATAATCAGAATATAACAAAGACAGTTATTTCTCCTAGGTGTGTCGCATCAGGCAGTTTGCTTCTCTTGAACTTTTGTCCACCTACAACTAGGTAAAAATATTATTTGATATACAAATAATGACAATCCAAGAATTGCGAGCTTTGTCGATATAAAATAATCGATTACTGGATTTGTAATTAGCACTTCTGGTGCTCTGAGTCGCAAATGTGAATATACCTAATATTTATTACATGTTGATAAGGATTTATTTACGATCGTCAATATAAGTGCTTCTTGATTTCACCCAAAGGACAAGTCATCCCAATATGATAACATGTCTGTCCACGAACCAAGAGGTTGACATTGTTTATATAGTTAATTTCCAGATGGCCGATTGGCCACTCACGAGCCATCGAAACATATCTTCACAAAACAACCCTCAGGCCACATGTGTATATAAAATTGATGCCATGTTGTGCTGTGCGGTGTGTCTCGGATTTATATTACCATACCCTGCTTGACAATATTCTGGAAAGCTGTGGCAGGGATATGATGGAACTTGGATCCACGCTCGAACGATGTAGAAATGGAGAAATCTTAAGGAAGAGGACAGTATAAGATTCCGTTGCACTATATTCCAGTTCACAAAGCTGGTCCTAACGACATCGCAACAATTGATTGGGGTACCTGGCATGCCGTAATTACTTTCACGGAACATAAAATGAGGAATACGATAGTCGAATATGATCAAACCATGAACGGCCACCACAAGCTAATATGACCACTACCTGCACTATCGAGACTATTTGGCAGCGGTGTGATGGCCGGCCCAAGCTCCCATCCCAGCTGCTCACAGCTCTGAGCTTGGGGCAGGCTTCAGAGCTTCGAGCTCCAATCCAAGCTGTTGGTCTCCAGCTCTGGGCTGGGCCATTGATGGCCAGCAGAGACCCACTGATTGCCGGGGCTTTCAGAGCAGCTACCCCACACTAAAGGCCGGCGATCACCTTGGTGCAGCCGCACAAGAGAGCAGCTAAACCAGAAGTGGCCTAGAGTTGAGCTCAGCAAAGGAATTTGGCTCTTGTTATGACGTAACCGGAGCTTTTGGTCCACCCACCCGTTGCCCGTCACTGTTTTGTCTTTCCCTGCTTCCATTGCATAGAAGCTTTTGGTTTCTTGACGAATTATGCTGTGAAACAGAAGCCACAGTTTGATGATCGAGATTGCTGATGATGAAATTTCAGCGGCATCAGACGTGCACATGTTTTTTCTTCTCCTCTGTGGCCATGCAGGCGAGCGCAGGCAGCCAACGCTGACAAGCTCTAGACCTCTCGCCTCGAGAGATGCCCTGGGCTGTCAAACCGAGGCCCGGGATATGTATACAAATGTACGTCATGCTGATCTAGGACGCGAAGAAATGTCCAGTCATCTTGAGTACAAGTCTGCGTGTCTTCGTCCAGCTCCCCCAACTAGAGGCAAAGAGGTGCTAGGCACGAAATCTATTTGCCTGATCCGCGTGTAATGGCTGATGGTTTGTTGATGATCACTGATGATGGCAAGGGCCTTTATTATGCATCTGGGTTAGTACAACGTAATACCCAGACAAAGGTGGGCAAGCACGATGGATACTTTGGCATAATACCCAACTGTATGTAGCAAAAGCGATGAACGTCTGTCTGTCTGTCTTCCCTTTGTTTACGCGGCACGACCCCTAGGCCGCAGTGACGTGATGCATTTGTGAATCAGGCCAAGCCCGTTTCCCCAACTCTGCGCTGCCCTTTTACTTTCGCCAAACAAAACCAACCACATTCCTCACACTTGACGGAGGTCTTTCTTCAATTCTCTTCCCATCCTCCCTCAATTTCAGCTCTGCATTTGATTGCAGCAGTACTACCAACGGAAGAAAAGATATCCCTCCGCATCCGGGAAATCCACACCACCTTAATTCACCATGAGGTTGTTGACCAGCCTCACCACTCTGGCCCTCGCCACTTCGGCTGTGGGCAGCAGCTGGTTCACCAAAGCTGGTACGTTGCATTGCAGAAATCTAGATTGCACCACAACCAGAATCGGTCTGGGGTTTCATTTCCATCTTCCGCCCTCGTCTGGAAGAATTATGGCATTAACAGTCGAGACACAGCATACAACAAGTGGCATGAGACCGAGCTCGAGCGCTGGCTCTCGGACAACGATGTCCCTTACCCCACCCCTGCCGACCGCAAGGACCTCGAGAACTTGATCCAGAAGAACTGGGAGAACTACGCCGTCTCACCCTACAAGAACTGGGACTCTGACAAGCTCTCTGCTTACCTCAAGCAGAAGGGCATCGAGACCAAGGAGGGCGCCGAGGCCAACAAGGACTCTCTTGTTACTCAGGTCCAGAACTCGTGGTATGAGACTGAGGACACTGCCCAGAACGCGTGGACCAGCACCAAGGACTGGATCCTCGACAGCTGGACCGACAGCCAGCTCAAGGCTTTTGCCGACAAGCACGGTATCCCTGGTAGGTGGCACAACTATCCTTTTAAGGATTCCGAGCACATTACTGACATTCCGTAAAGTCCCCCAGCCTCGCAAGCGTGATACTCTCCTCCAGAAGACCCGCTCCAGCTACGAATCTGTCGCCAAGAAGCTCGGCGAGACGGCCGCCTACCCTGGTAACTGGCTCTACGAGACTTGGTCCGAATCTGACCTCAAGGAGTGGCTCGATACTCACGGTGTTCCTACTCCCCAGCCCTCGAGCCGTGACAAGCTGATCGCTTCCGTTCGTCGCAACTCTCGTCTTGCATACCTGAGAGCTCAGGACCAGGCAGCTTCTGCCTCCGCCAGCGCCAATGCCGCCTACGCCACTCTGACCGACAAGATCATTGACGCTTGGGGTGAGTCTCAGCTCAAGGAATTCGCCGACAAGAACGGTATCCCCGTCCCTCAGGGTTCCAAGGTCAACGAGCTCCGCGCTCTTGTCCGCAAGCACCGTGCCCAGATTCTCGGCGACTCTGCCTCCGCTTCCGCTGCCAGCGCTTTTGGCGCCGCTACCAGCAACGCCAACAACCAGTACGCCAAGGCTACTGACAGTGCCAGCTTGGCCGCCCAAGAGGCGTTCAACTCTGCCACTGACACCTGGTCGGAGAGCCGCCTGAAGGCCTACCTCGATGCGCGTGGTGTCCCGGTTCCTCACGGCTCCAAGGCTGATGAGCTCCGCGCACTTGTTCGCAAGAACTCCCACAAGGTCGCTTCTGGCTACAGTGCTTGGACTTGGGATGACCTCTCCACCGACAACCTCAAGGAATACCTCAAGAGCAGCGGTGATGCCACCGCCCAGAGTGTTGGTGACAAGGCCGGTGCCACTCGCGAAGAGCTTGTCTCGGCCGCTCAGTCCGCATACGCCTCGGCTTCCTCTGCTGGTGGAGACAGCTATGCTTCGGTCACAAGCTACCTGAGCAAGGCTACCGACGCTGCCAAGCAGAGCACCTTTGACACCTGGAGCGAGAGCGAGCTCAAGTCGTACCTCGACAGCTACGGCATCCCGGTCCCTCAGGGCTCCAAGCTCAACGAGCTGCGCGCCTACGCCCGCAAGCAGTCCACCTACTTCAAGTATGGCACCAGCGGACCGGCCGACACTGCTTTCGCCAAGTTCACCGAGGCCGCTAAGAACGGCTACCAGTGGGTTCTTGACCAGGTCATCGGCGGATCTGATGCCGCCAAGAAGAAGGCTCAGGACACCAAGGCAGAGCTGTAAATGTCTCTACCACACACACATATTATCTATGGATGATGGTGGAAAAGGGAGTTCAGAAGATACGATAGGAAACGAACGTTATGACAAAAAAGGACACTGTATTCTAGGGCGGACAAGCACGGATTGGCTGCGTTCCATTCAGGTGTCTGGTTTTGATACCACTGCTGTTTTCAGATAGGTTCTATGCGCTTAATACGACTGCATCTACCAAACTCTTATGTACTTTGCATTCCACGTGCCTGTGACATCGAATCTTTTTCTACATGCACATTGTGGCAATGTTGACGAAGTTCTAGGATCTGCATTCATCATGTCAAGGCAGCCATCCGCTAGGTATAGCCGCCATTGCCAATCAAGCTTTACGACGAGTCGCGACACAAGCCACATCACGACTATAATCCGTCGATTGTGTGTGTAATACGCCACTACTTTCACAGTATTTATCTTATCCTAGTCACCAAGACTTCACGATATTCAATTTGTATACAGCCAGTACTGGAGTGATTAGTTTCCCCAACGTGCATCGCATTCTACGTGTCATAGCATCCGTCCACTTGAACCCCCGCAAACCAGAGCCCCGCCTTCATCAGTGCAATAAATCTTTTACACACCGTGGGTACCTGGGCGCCCCCCGTCTGAAGACCCCCAATGTGGTTTGGTGCTGGAAGAGAAA